CATTGACAAACACAATAAAATCACATACATTATAGACATAGCCATTCCAAACACTCACAATGTACAAAACACATGCACAGAAAAAATTAGCAAGTACACAGATCTCGCCCAGGAAGTAAGGCATCTGTGGAGGATGGAAAGGGTGCTTATTGTACCTGTTGTTCTCTCCTGTACAGGTGTGATACCACACACACTACACAAAAGCCTGGGAACATTACAATTGAATAGAAATACATACATCACACTACAGAAGGCCACTATATTGAATACATGCCACATTGTTAGGAAATTCCCGAATACAGAAACACACACTGACACACTTATTTAATTTTGTTTTGGTTGCTATGCCTTGACTTTGGTCTGGCATAGTACACAGCTACCGGTGTGAACCGAGTATAACTCACAAAACCCAACATAATAATAATAATGTGTACCAGAAATACTTTAACACAGTAAAATGACAATACTGAATGAAGTCTTCTCTTTGATTTATGCATATAGTAACTTTATTTTCTGTCCAACCTTCATTAAAATATTGAAGATGTTAAAAGTAGAAAGATAGAGTTTGCTAAATTATAATAAATTAATGAAGTTAGAAAATAGTTTAGGAAAAATTTCACAAATTTTTGAGATTTGTAACTATACATCAACCAAAGTCAAATATTATCGGGCTAGGAATGGCTGTAATACTAATAATTTAATAGACAATTTGGCATTAGAGTTAGGCGTTAGGCACCATCTCTTGATAAATTTAATAATTATAAATTAATTAAATAATTTAAATTTGAGATTTGTAAATTCGATACCTAAATTTTAAAATACTGTACTTACTTCTTCAAAAGATGCAGAAGGACCTCTTGAGCCTGGAAATCCACCTCCAATATCAAGAAGAGTAAAACTAAATCCCAACCTTTCTCCAATGTTAAAAACATGATGAGCAGATTCAATTGCCTTATGGTAAGCATTTGCATCTAAACAGCCACTTCCAACATGAAAACTAATTAAATAATACACATTTAGAAAAAATTTAATATTTTATAATGATTAAATTGGAAATTTAGTAAACTACTGTAGTAAGATGAAATCTGAAATGTATAATGAATCCTATGTTGTAGTTATTTTTAATATAAATACATGTTAGTGTCACATAAATTTGGATTATTTTATTATTATTATTATTATTATTATTATTACTATTATTATTGAAACAATGACTTTAGTAACAAATATTTCTAATTCCTCAAAGAAACACACTATCTAAGGTATGCCAATCAATTCTTTGAATATCAGCAGTTGTTCCAGTTATCATGTTTAGAAGTCTAACTTGAAATGTTTAAATGTTTTAGTTTGACTAAAATTATTCAACATACAGAACTGTTGCTACACATGTGAAATTAAATCATTTAATTAATATAGTGATTATTAAAACATTTAATTTTAAACAAAGAAGAGAAAAAAAAATTGTTAAGAAAATTTATACATTAACTTGTTTTTAGTTTTTGCTAATATTAAAAGAAAAAAATTAGCAGATTCTAATAATAACCAGCTAGATTAATTATTAGAATCTGCTAATTTCTTCTGTATATCAATCTGCTACATAATTAAATTAACAATTCATTTTTCTTATATATAGCAGTTATTATTGTAAATTGCTTTCTCATAATGCCTAATTTATAACCATTTTAATAAATTTAGATTTAATTTTATACAATAAATAATTTAAATAGAAATTAACCTAAATTCTAAATTCAGCAATTTTTTAATTAATGGTAATTTTGCAACAGTGTAATTCAATCAGCAATTTATTCTACAGATCTACATGTACAGTACAAATCATTAAATATTTCTTACTGATTTTTAAAAATCAGTAAGAAATATTATCTTAAGTATACAGATTAAAAAAAAATATATTATTAAAACTAATCCACAAATCACAAGTAAAAGGCCCTCTAAATGCATTATCCAGAGGCAATCTCACTAAAACAAATGCACAAAGTTTTTCAAGTTGTAAAAGTTTGAGTCAAGGAACATTCATTTAAAAAAATTACTTGTTTCCCGAAGATCCAAATATTTGTTTTATGGTTTGAAAATATTAGTGTATAGTTTTTGTATGATTTATTTTATCTAAACATTAAATTTTATAATATTCATAAAAAAAGTATATTTTAAAAAATTATAAAATCTACTAACCTTACTCCAATTACATTTACTCCTAACTGTTTGGCTACTTGTAGTAAATGAGTGGCATCACCCACATCACATCCAAATTTAATACCCAGTCGACAAATTGAACTGCTATCATCTACTCTGATACGAAGGACCATTCTACATTTAAACAAAAAAAAAAAGCAAAATTCAGCTACAAATAAATTAGAATTTTTATAATAGTTCCAGAAATTATTCCTACTGTGCCCCAGGATGAAGATTTTTTGTCTTATGCAATTCTATTTCATTATCGAATGTCATCACATTCACACCAACAGATGCAGCATGCTTAATAAAAGATCCAGTTTTGCAAGGATTGGCATAAATAATTCTAGAAGGATCAACACCCATGTTAAGAACTGCTTCAATTTCAGCCTAGAAATACATCATTATATCATTATCACCACCATAAAAGTAGCAAAAACAATGATCATTTATTAAAAATATATTAATTTACCTTACTAGCACAATCAAATCCAGTTCCAAGTGCAGCTAAAAGTTCCAAAATTAAAGGAGAATCATTACATTTGACGGCTGTAAAGTAAGTTAATTTTGTAAATAAGATTGCTTTGTAGAGTAAAATAATATAAGCAATGTATATTAAACTACTACCATAAAATGGATGAACACGTGACATATTCAGCTTCCATAATTTATATTTATATACAACATCTCCAAGATCCACTGTATAAAATGGTTCCTCAAGACCCTTTAAAAAATTCATAAATTTTTACCTTACTGTATAATAATAAAAAATATTCAATTGAAACACAAGATACCTCAACTGCAATTTCTTTCACAAGATCTGCAACAGTTTTATCGCTCACAATCTCCACAGAGGGTAAACCTGTTTGTGACTTCATGATTGCAGAGGCGACAATTCACTAAATTACACAATACTTTCGACAGCAATAAAAAATTCCTAAAAATAAATTAATTTATTAGAAAACAAATAATGTAATGTACAGTACATTACATTTTATGAATCTTTGCCAGATTGCTGTAATGCACAGTAGCAAGTACAAGTTTACATCAACAAGCAAACAAAACATTTTGGAGTAATAGCTGGATAATTTAGGCAGCTCCTGGCCAGACTTGTATTTACAGTAATTTTATTTTAAGCCTTAGAAATGAATAAAAAATATAAAGAAAAACAAATTTATACTTCAACAGACTAAACATCTTAGGAAAATAATACACAATCATTTACAGAGCTTGAAAATTTCATTGCATGTCTCAACCACTGACATTGATGCATAGCCAGTTTAGTTTTACACAATGTTACGGCTAAGAAAAATAATAAAACATAAGAAAATGTTTAAAAAGAATTTAAATGATCAATTACATGTAATAGCTGAATGACTAAATCCATGAATAACAGTTCTTTGCATCCCTATGATTTCTACGGTAACCTTTTTGTTGTTCTGTAAGAATGTTGTGTTCTTCAACATGCTTGTATATTTTGTTTGCAATACAGGATGTCAATAATTTATGAAATGTTGGAAGACATGTACTTAAATATAACATAGGTACTGGATAACAAACAAAGAATAAAACACACCTTTAAAAATCCAGAAAATAAATATTAATAAAATAAAAACGTTTTTGACCATTTTTTAATGATCTTCCTCAGTTAACATAAAAATAGAACATAAATATAAAAATATAAATAACAGAAAACGTAGTTGTGGTCAATAAAATAAACAAATAACATAAATTAAGTTGAAAATGTCACTTAATAAAAATAAAATTAAAATAAAAATGAAAAAAATTTATATTAATGAATTTTCTTGATTGAGACAAAATGTTTTCAAAAATATCTCCAATTTTTAAAATATATTAAGTGCAGCAAAGATAGCTCAAAGTGTGGCTAACATTGCAAAGAAATGAATTTTTCAATTTTACATACAGTAGAACCTCGATTATCCGCCCCCGATCAACCGACCCCTCGGTTAACCGACCGTCCTAGTCGGCAAATTTCAAATGTCCGCTAGTGATATGGCGCTACAATATTTGGCTATGTCTTGGCTACTTTAATATTATTTTTACGTGTTTTAGCTGGCAACACTCATTCGACCATGAAAGGGAGCCAGTATTTAAACGAAGCTTAATTTTCTAATTTTTAACGATACAATAGCGACGATTATTATTTTAAAAAATTTTTGTTAGGCTTAACATCGATGAAAATTCAACGCAAAATAGGTTAATAGCGATATACTAATATACTAATTACATGGGATATAATAATATACTACACTAATAATGGATTTTTTCATACTTTTCAGTTATCCGACTTTTCAATTATCCGACCAACCCCAGTCCCCAATTAGGGCAGATAATCGAGGTTCTACTGTAATTCTAGATTTAGAACTATATGAAACTGGCAGTTAGAAAACATCTAGAATTAAAAGATAAAGCAAACTGTTGCACTAAAAAATACAATTTGGCTAGCACAAGTTGATAATTGATGTCTATACTTATACTGACTTCAAAGGCAGATGTGATGCTTGAATGGAACCCAGCTACATGATTAATAAGTAAATTATATGTAAAATTTCATTATAAGCAATAGTATTTAAAATCTCATTTAACTAAAAATTACTATATGCAAAGGCTTTTCTGAAAAAATTCTAATTCTAAAAACAAGTTAAACATGAATTTAAAAAAAATTCTAGAAATTGATGTTTTGAAAATATATTAAATCAAAAATTGTCTGACTTCATGTTTAAGACTTTTTTTATTTGCTATTTTGTATACATCATGGACATCTAGTCTAATAAATAATAAATACCATTTACAGAAAATTTACAAAATAAATAATTTTCTTACTTTTCAGTCAGCTAAATCGTTAGCGGTGGTAGGTTCTATAATTGATACCAAAAGTGGCCGCCTCTACATCCACAAACTACAAACAGGAGTACACCCCCTGAGGTTGAATGTTAGTCAGCAAGTTTGTTCTAGAATGAAAACAAAAACATTATTATTTTCTGTCATTTTCAGTAAATTGCTATAATAATTTTGTTGGGTTAGCAAGAAACTGTACATTTCTGGAAATTAAAAATTAATAGTGTATCAATTATTACAAATCCAGGAATACTTGCATAAAAGAAATCCACTAATGTATAACCAAACTGAATAATAAAATATATCCTTTTAATTTTTTGAGCATTTTTAAACATCAAAATTTAAAATAATTCTATAACATAAAACTACCTGATACACTTTTATTACCAAATAATCTGCCAGATTATTTATCAGGTTATATTAATTAAGAATAATTACTAAACTTGAATCCAAACTGCTTTGTATCTGATCATTAATTTGCCTTAATACAAACTGACAGATTGCTTAGTAAATTTTGTAATATTTTTCTATATAATGGACTGCTTCTATGTGAGTTTTGCTGAAATATTCTAGGAAAATAAACTTATTACATTTGCTTACTGATATAAATAGAAAATTGAAGCCATTTGTACATTCCTTAAATAGGACTTTATTAATAAATATGGAATTTGGCATTTGTTTTCAGACTTTAGAAACTGTTATGTAACAAAGTTGATCAATAAAAATTAACTTAAGAAAATTATTGTTGACATTAGAAGAATTTATAACAAAAATTTTTGTTACAAAATGCATTTTAATGTTAAGTATTTAAAATAACAAAAAACAAATACTATAAATAAAATCAATATTAATTTCAGAAAGCCAGCTTTTTATTAACTAAAAGAAATGTTTACAAACTTCTTAAAAACTGTAAAAAAAAAAAACAATCATGCCACATTTTAATTTCTTTAAAAAAACTTCCAATGAACAATAAAAAAACTTTCACTTCATGACAAAAAGTTCCCCAGTTTATGAAGTCTTCTCACAACAGATCCTTCTCTGTAGGCTACTCTTGGAGTCGGACCTTATCTCTCTCTGCAGTCAATCTCCATCAGAACTTTGTCTCGAAGTGAACATTTTTTAATGTTCGTTAGAATTTTTTTAAAAAGAAAGTAAAAGAAATGGTTTTAGTTGAAAGCTGACCACCCTAAACTTAAATCAAGTTTTTTTTTTGTTCTTTTTGCTCTTTCTACTTTGTGGACACTAAAGCAGCCTCAAACAAGCTCATCATAAATTTGACCTGGCTCACATGGTTGGAGGGTGAGGGACAAGTTCTAACATATCCAGAACAAACTACTCACAAAAAGCCCTAAGCAATGGGAATAAAAAAAGTTTGCTTTAAGTATCTATATACACAGAATATGCTAAGGCAAAATTATTTCCAATTCATTCAGGTACTTCCACACACATTACAGTTACATTTTATACATCATTTTGAAGCTTATTCGATGGAGATAAGCCCCATCGCATCTATTTTATTATTTAACTTCATTTAAAATACAGTAGAGCATTGATTATCTGAAACAGTGGACTGAGGTTGTTTGAGTAACTGATCACATACGAAAAAATATATTAACCTATCCCATGTTGAAAATTTTCTCCTTGTGTCACTTTGTGTTGTATTTTCATTGATGTTAAGCCTAACAAAAAAATTTTAAAAAATAATAATCATGACTATTGTATCGTTAAAAATTATTTCTTTATTTTGCACAAACAAAATAAATATATTGAAAATTATAAAAACAAAAAAAAAATTATATTTCGGAAGTAAATATACAGGTAGTGCTCGGTTTACATTGTACATTCGTTAAAACGAAGATTTTTATTAAATATATTTATTTTTTCTGTTTAATATTATTGGGTATGTATACATTTGCATTAAATAAATATTAAAATACTAAACATTTAGGTACCCACGAGTCAAGATATTAAACTTAATAGTCGAATAAATGGTGTCCGAATCCATAGCGCCAATGAATGTATCCCGTATCAGTTCATTCAGGAAAACACCTTACGACGCAATAGCACTTCCGGCGATCACAAATTATCGTTAGTGAGACAAATCTACTTCTCGTTGGCCAGACAATATTTCTCTCTCCTTAGCCACCTTCAATTTTCCCGCTCAAACTGACCTTATATATGCGCTACGGCAACCGGTGGTCGACCAATCAGTGTCTTCGCTCGTCTGTAGCTCTACCTCGGGTTAACATATCCTTTCAACTAAGGAAAGTTTGACGGATGAAGTTTGTTAGTTAGACAATGTTGGGAGTGAAATGCATCATATTCGACCATATTCTGAAATTCTTAATGAAAGAAATCAAAAATGTAAACAATTAAAGATGGATACTTTTTCCGAAAAATGTAAGAAATTCAAAACTAAAATTTTTAAATAAAAACATTTTACTTTATTTTATGATAAAATTGAAAATTTATATGTATTTTGTATTATATTGTATTAATAAACAAAATTATTAGCTTATTTTTCACTTATGTAGAACCTAACCCTATACCTCACTGTAAATATGGGTTTGTTTTACGCCAATTTGATTTGCGCCGGCTTTTGTAGGAACGGAACTGCGGCGTAAACCGAGGGCTACCTGTATTCCTATGTCTTCTATCACTGCTAACAGTATGACTTTTTCCAAAGCCAAGTTAGACATTATTAGTGACAGCATGTTTCCCTCTTTTAGTCCTGTCTTTATGCTGAAATTTTCAGATAATGAACCTATTGCTTTATTTTTTATATTCCACATTATTCATGCACATTTTGGTAAGATTGATTAATTTTGGAGATGCCAAATTTTGCCATAATATTGTACAGGTTATCACTATGTAAGCTGTCATGCTTTATGGAAATCAAGGTATTTTTGGTATGCTTCTTGTTTAGTTTCATAATTTTTTTCTAGGATTTATTTTAGTATATGAATCTGGTAATAGTTGATATAAGACCAAATAGAATGCTTGGATGTGAATTTACAGGATTGGATCATCTGCCACCTTTGGTTCAGTTGGAGCTTTCCACTTTTTTGTTTAAAAAGAAAGGAGGGTGTCTGCCTTGCCTTGCTTTAGGTTTTCATTCTGGCAGAACATGACAGTAAAGTTGTAACACTGGTATAACTCTTTTTATAATAGAATAGATATTTTTCCAGTCAGGATCAATGTTTCTGAAGATTCCTATAAGTTCCAATCAGAATTTCTGTAAAACATAAAATAAGATTTTTGAAATATGAACCCCTTTATTACTTGACATAGAAATAGCTTCTATTTTCTTGTATCAGTTAAGTGTGTCAAAAAATCAAATTAACAAACTATTAATTCTTTATTGTTTTTTGGCTAAACTACTGAAATTACTGATTATCATTATTTGTATTTAATATAGTAAAAAATTTGACTATGTTGATAATTTTAAAGTTTCAAACTTAAAAAATGAATTAAAAAAATGGCTTAAAGTAATTTATTTTAATTTTTTTGATTTTATATTTTTAGACAATCCAATATCTAGAACAAACATCATGTACACATCAAAATGAAGAAGTTATTGGTGAATTTTTAAAGGCACTTCAACCTTTTAATTTAACCAAGTAAAATTGCCTTCAAATTTTAATAAGACTAGATAGAAAATAATTTTTCTTATTTGTTAAATTTTTATTTTTAGAGTGGAAAAATTGCAGTTATTGAATCACAGACCTGCAACACTAGTAGAAATACAATTAGTAGGTATTTTGTTATATCTTAATTCCTACCTTAAATTTATTTTTGATTTTATGAAAATCTATAACAAATCTGAAAACTTTTTAATGTATTTTAAAATTTACATAGATTCTGATTGTCAGTTTCTAAAACAGCTAATATAATCTCAGAAATTGTACTAAAATAATTTATAGTTTTATCATGATAGCAATATCATATTTAGTCATACCCACTAGTGGTTGAGTGGATAAAACTACTAAACAGCCCATTGATGTTTGCACTTCAGCAGTTCTCACTGGTAACATTTGTCAGCACTAGCCATGTGGAATTTTGGGTTTTCTTCAATCTAAACTCTAAATAGGAACCAGTTCCCAGGAGGCATCACCTCTTGGCTGATTACACGTGTTGTGTTGTCATATACTATCAGTCCAATCCATATTTAGTCACTGAAAGTTTTGTAAGAATTGTTATTTGTATGTTTTTCTCTTTTAGATTATCACTTATCCTCATCTTCAAACTTTGAATTCTCCATTAGATTTTCTACTCTTTTCTGCTGTTTCAATTTAAAATTTCCATTATCATCTTATATTAAATTAGCAACATTTCTTTAAAAAGTTTAAATAGATAACTGCAATAGTTTATAAAAACAAAATGAATAAACTTGATAAAAGCAATTTTGTTTCCTCTCAATGATTATTTACTTTACTATTGCACTTTTAGAAATTGCTAGCAAAAACGTTTTCTTTTTAAGACAAATATTACTAATAAGTAATGCTATTATATATTTGATGATTACACTGAAATATTCAATTACAGTAATCATTAGTTGTCAGATATGATAGAGTATGGAACAGAGCCTGGCCTAGAGGTATTTTCACCCCTATGTATAGTTTTTTATTTTTAATAAGTATTAAATAAAAATAAATGATTTTGGGAACAAAATTTATTTATTAATTATTNTTCTATCACGTACATATACAGTATCGTAATTCGCCAAGTGCAAATCAGCAAATTCGTAAAATTTTTGTTTATTTTGAACAATCCGGATAATCGAGGTTCTACTGTATTTAATAAGAAGTGGAAGTTACAGTATTTTTATTGTAAAAGTAAAAATCATGCATTAACACTTGCTTATAACTAAGGTACAACAGTTCCAAAACAAGCAAGTGTTAGCAATTCCAAAAGATAATCAATTTAAGACATCATTCTAAAACTGAAAATGGGAAAAAGTATAATTCACTGCAAAGCAACCTTAAGAAAATAAATTAAGAAAAATCATTTAAGTTCTAAACAATATGCATTTCAACATTATTAAACAAAAAATAGATGATGTGAATGTAAGGTACATCTTATCAAGAATAGCAACAGAAAATTTAGCTTTTAT